CCTGATGACTGAGGTAAGGAGGCCTTCTCCCCACCTGCTCCAGGGCACTGCCGAACTTCTCTGCCCTCCTATGGCAGCATGGGAGGGTGACCTGGGCTTCATCTATAGAGACCTTGATGTCAAGGACCTACCTCTACCCCTCACCCCCCCCCAAAAAAAAACTTACTGCTGGTTAGAATGAGTGATCAGGAGGAATCATCCCAACAGAGATGAGGAGGGGGAGGAGGGACTAGTGAGAGTGAAGCTGGGAGAGACGAGGAGGGCGGGGAAAGGAGGATGGCGGCAGGCGAGACGGGAAATGGCTGAGGCGTGGACCGGGGGTCAGCTACTGAGCCAGGCAGGAAGGGCTGGGGTGAGCTGGGGGCCAGGAGCTGGCTAGGGAGCAGACAGAAAGCTCTACCCTTAGCCTGGCTCCTGATTGTGTTAAAGCTCTGTGGCCCAGAGAGACTGAAGGGGCTGGCAAAGGGGTGACCAAGGGTCAGATCATCTACCTGAGGAGGGGCTGGGCAGGAATTTTCTTTGGCCTAGGGGAGGCATCCTAGAACAAGGGTAAGGCTATTCTAGAGTCTAAATGCCCATCTCAGAGCAACAAGCAATCCTTGGAGTGAAGAACAGATGAGCCCACCTGAGAAGCAAAATGTTCCTGTATCCCTCAAACTCAGTCTAGCTCAGAGGCTTTTCTTGGAATTAAAGGGTTAAAAGGAATTCAACTGCTATGTATTGAGCATCTGCTGCAGACCAGAACTTAACCAACCTAGGGTGAAGTGAGAAGGACCACCTCTGGCCTGTGATCTCAAAGGTCAGAAGTAGAAGGAAACTTGGAGGTCACATTCTTCCACCACGCACCCCCCCTCCCATTTTACATCTGAGAACTGGGCCCCAGGAGGAAAAGCAATTTAATCAAAGTCTTAAAGCTAATTAGTGCATGGCTGGGACTAGAATTCAGGACTCCTGATTCTAAGTCCTATACACTTTCCATTACACCACCTAATTGTGTATGGAGTGGAGAGGTGGGGGGAGTGGGAGGGGTACGGATTTCCTCTGATTAACTGCCATAGTTTTCCAGGTTACTTTGTTAGGAAAACCTGTCCAGGGGAGAAAATATTACTTCTTGCTCCTGCCCTGAAGTCTTCCTCCTACCCACAGATTGAGATACTCCTTCCCTTCTCAATCATGGAATATCGTGCGTGGTCCTTTCCTCTGGTTGCCACCTGCAGCAGAGGGGGCAGAACGAGGGATTGGCCCAGGAGAGGCTCTGACAGGCCTGGGAACCCCCTCGGTTTTGCTTATCTCCCACACCCTGACTGCAAAAGGCCTCCATTGAATTGGCTCTGCACACTGGGCTGCTGCCCCCGCAGGTCAGGGCCTCAGGGCCTCCTTAGGGGACAGAACGACATAAAGTTGGAAGGAGTTACCGCTATTCCTGTCTCTCCCTCCCCTCCTCTCCAACCCTGCCGAGGTGTAGAAGACTCGGGAAGAAGGGCAGGGGGAAAGTGTCCTTCTGGAAGTTTAGGAGAAAACCAAGTCCGAAGTGAGAGGTTGGAGCGGGGAGAAGAAAAGGAAGCTGTCCTCTCTGCCTCCTCCCGCGATGTCCGTGCTGTGGTGCGCGCCAAGGTCTCCGGCTCCCAGACTGGAGCGGCCGAGATAACCGTGGTCTCACTCCCCCGGTGCAGGCTTCCAGACGCTGCTGCTTTTCCTCCTCTCCACTCCCACCCTGCAGGGGGCCCCCCAGATCCGCGCAAGGGCCGCTCGCATTATTCTCAGGTGTTACTCCCACGCCTTTCTGGGCTGCCTCTGGAACACAGACCGAGAGATGGGGGTCTCTCAGAGCTGGCAGAGACTAAGCTGGAACTGGGAGGGCTGGCTGCACTGGGGGAGGGGACCTGGCGGGCCGGAGCAGGGATGGGGGGCGCGGCTTTCTGCCCTTTCCTCTCCCAGCGCCGGGGCGGCTGAAAAGCGCCTTTGTGGATGGAGCTGCTGAGTCCGCTTCTCCCGGCGCGTCCCCGTCCTCGGCCCGGGATTCTCGCTCGGTTAAGTCATCCCGGAGAATGGCCATTGTACTTCGCACGGCCCCCGCCGCCCCAACTCTTTTTCCAGCAGCCTTGATCCCGCAAGGCTCCGCCTGGGCAACTCTGTGGGGGGCACTTGCA